TAAAGGCCTAGTAACCCCTCCTCTAGTCATCACCCGCGAAGATCACGTGCGGTAACAACGTTATATGTACTTCCGTGATGTTGCAGTTTGTAGAGTTGATATCAATTCACGTGGCTCACAGGAATAGTCATGAACTTTTTCAAGGGAAAAAAAAACTGTGCTTGCTCAATAACATGAAATCTAAGTGATTCAAAATACAAATTTTCATATAATTTCGAAGTTAAAGAGTCCCGAAATAAACACGACTCGAGAGTGGCATGTCAATGAAATGAACATAGAAGGGTACAGCTCCTGGGACCCGCCTTGCTTTAAGTGGAACTGTATTCCAAAAACTAACAGTTTTTGCATCAACGATTAGAAATAATGCATGAAATTAAGACAATGCTAGTGTTTTGAAAGCCCAAATGTGAACCTATTCTTTGAAAGTTGTATTTATATTTAATTAAAGTTCGGCCGTTAGCTTCCTAGCCGCTTACATTGGACGCAACTAAGTCCCGCCCATCCTTTTCTCCACTTCTATGTGCACCGCCATTTTGAGTATTGCTTAGCTTTCGGGCCGCTTACCTTGGACGTAACTAAGTCCCACCCATCCTTTTCTCCACTTCTATGTGCACCGTCATTTTGAGTATTGCTTAGCTTTCTAGCCACTCACCTTGGACGTAACAAGTCCCACTCATCCTTTTCTCCACTTCTATGTGCACCGACATTTTGAGTATTGCTTAGCTTTCTAGCCGCTTACCTTGGACGTAACAAGTCCCACCCATCCTTTTCTCCACTTCTATGTGCACCGCCATTTCGAGTATTGCTTGGCTTTCTAGCCGCTTACCTTAGACGTAAGTCCCTCCCATCCTTTTCTCCACTTCTATTGCTATAAATGGAAACATTAGGAAACCAACCAAAAAAGGTATTTTTTGACATAAATTATGATAAATAGTCAAGTAGCTGAGCGTGTGTTAACTTGCTGTTCAAAATGGGAGCGTCCATTTCTTCATTAACGAATGTTTAGTAAAGTTAAAAACAAATTTTCTGAAAAAGCGCTTAGAGGAGCATGTTTATGAGCACAATTCAGTGGCGGAGATGAAAATTGTCAGGTTTCTGGGATCTATTTCAACTTTCAAAAGTTGCAAGTGTCGGTTACAATTAAATGCAGCAGATGGTTGTATCGCGCAATTTGTTAACGAAATGTCCTTTTTGTCTCAGTCTTAGGGATGCAACATACAGCGAATGTCAACGCAAATACAAGCAGCTTGGAGGCACGTTCAGCTTCCTCTTCTCGTCGCTTTGATTGCAGGCAAGCATCGTTCAGCAGAACTTCCTTGTATGACTATCTTTATAGGCATGACTGTATTCCAAGTGGATGGGGTGAATTTTTCAGTAGTCGCACTATTAAAGGAGAAGTACGCGAAATTTCAGGTCATCTTGAACGCGATGCCAGGCGGTATACCATAGAGCCCTCACTCTCCGATGTATTTAACGCCTTCAAGGTCGGCAGTGTTCGACACGTAAAAGTTGTCATTTTAGGACAGGATCCAACACCTCAGGCAAACCAGGCAACAGGCTATGCCTTTAGCCTGTGGTCAGATCAGGAACCCGCTGAGGTTCCTGCTGTCTTCAACATGCTCGTGGAGTTGGGGTGGGAGGGATACCGAGTTGGTCTGTCAAACGGGGACTTAAGACCATGGGTTCGCCAAGGAGTCTTTCTTCTCAATTCAGCACTAACTGTCCGACAAGGATCAAATAATGCAGGGTCTCATCAAAGTTTATGGAGGGACTTTATGCAATATCTGCTGCAGGAAATCAACAATAACGCCGGTCCAACGGCATGGCTTCTTTGGGGAAGCGAAGCTAGGGGTGCACGTAACTTGATCACGAACAGAGATCATTACGTCAAGACTGGAGGACACCCAGCCCAGAGGGCACCTGGATCGGATCCATTCTTTGGAAGAAATTATTTCCGCTGTGCAAATGAGCACTTGAGTGAGTATGGACGGACTGAGGTTGATTGGCGGTTATCTGAGAATCGGAACTCGCAGGCGCCGAGAAGGGCACGCTGTTGAGAAGTTGCTGACATTCTTATTTTTTCTAAAATTATTAAAATGATTTTCTATATATTAGATTAGTAATGATAAAGAAATCTTTGTAATGGACTTGTTTTCTTATATCACCGCTTAAGAAGACCTCTTTTTTATTTCAAATAATTTCTGCGTAGTGAATAACCGTAAACGCTCATTTGCTGACTTCAACCTTCAGGACCTATTCTTTGACGAGGCTAGATAGATTGGGTTTTTTAGAAATAGGTTTCACTCTTTTTTTCTTTTTCAACTTGTACATCTATCCGCATCTGCGGTTTAAGGCTGGTTTCACTGGAAGGGGAGTAACGACTTCTGAAGATTGGTGGAACTGTAAGGTTACACTTTATGGAAATTACATGAATTTGTCAGTGCAAGTTTAGGCTGCAAATACATAGTGTAAATGTACTTAGATGGCAAAAAGGAGAGCACTATGATGATTGCCTATCACCAAGTTCATCAGTTTTGATCCTATCCTTTTACCTTTTAACAAACAGCTCGACTCAGTCAGTACTCATTGCCATCAAAGTAAAAGGGAACTGGAGGGCCGTATATCATCACTTATAACCCACCCATTAATTTTGGCGCGATTTTATTGGTTTACGTCACGTACTGCAAAATCACAGGACAGTTTTCACGCAATAACTCCGTCCGCGTCGATATTTGTCCTACGATTTTTCCGTGAAAAAGAAACTATGATAGTCAACACAAGAGTTTCAACTTTTCCGTTGTCCTATTTACATGGACGGAAACCAAACTATTTTTTTGAGTCTAGCGATAGTGACATTAAGGAGCTGGTCGCATTAACTGTTCCGGAAAGTACAAAAAACAAAAAAACAAAAAAACAAAAATGCTGTCAATGTCCTTGAAGGTGAACCAAAAGCGCCAAGTTTTCGAATTTTTCATCTAAGAGGCGTTATGAGAGTTAATTTCAAATGACAGCTTGTCAAGTTTTGGTCCAAACACACTGAAAATAAAGTTATTTAAACCAATCAAATGTACTTGCTTGCTTGCGTCATTCACACGCATTCGCCATCAGATCCCCACTGGCTTTTTTACTGTGTTTACGCGCAGTTTAATTGTAATGTGAAAGTTATTACGAGGGTTATAAGATAAATAAACCCCGTTCTGGCTTGCTGGTATGTCTGCCGATAATGTCCTTGGCTGAGAGATTATCCTTAAAATTTCATATTTGCCCTCGAAGCTTCGCTTCTTGGCCAAATATTAATTTTTCGGACAATCTCTCAGCCGCGGACATTATCAGCCGAAATACAAGCCGACCGAAGGGGTTTATTTTACTAAATATCGTTTAGCGATGCTAAAGTCACCAACTTAAGCTGGAAATGTACATCAAGCACTGCTAAACCAAATTGGGAGACCAGGTTTCAACGACTCACTGTGGTAATATCAATGATAACTTATAAAGGCTAATCTCACTGTTCCTCTATTGCTCTATCCTCTAGGCTCCAATAATGATTAAACCAGGCTTCCGTTGATTTTAATTTTGCCTGTTAATTATAATCAATTTTAATTGATCGCGATTCCATCTTTTGTGAGACCTTACACAAAACAAGGCACTCCGCGTTGTAGGCCTTTAGCGTCCAAAATCAGAAATCAGCTACTTTTGTCCAAAATCGGAAATCTGCCAACAGTGTCCAAAATTCAAATTCGGCCACTAGTATCCAGACTCGACCACTAGTGTCCAAAATCCAATATCGACCGCTGGTGTCCAAGTTAGAGAATGGTCATTAATGTCCATACTCCAAATCGCCCTATAGTTTTCAAAAATCGGAAATCGTTCATAAAAACCGAAAATCACATCGGATACCAAATTCGAAAACCCATTGGCATTTTGGACAAAAACCGAAAAAAAATGCTAAGAAAAGGAAAATTTACAAACTGTGATGAACACCAAAATCGAAAGACCGATGTTTTTTGGCCTAAAAACCCCAAAACAGATCTAGAAAATAGCCAAACTTTAAAACCGGAAATACCAGTGTCCTTCTCACAAAGAGGGTGATGAGGGATACCAAATAAATGCAAACCTGCTTTACGGTGCAAAATGGTAACAACTGCAAATGATGGACAGCAAAGTGTGAATTTTGGATTGGATCGTTTTCGTATGACGCGTTCCTAACTGAATGAGAAGACATATATTTTTGAAGCCGGTCAGCATTTTAGTATAAGGCGCAAAACCTAGTCGCTCAAGGTCGACAAAACTCAAGAGTTTGTTGGAGAGGGTTCAAGTTTAGCCTTCGAAACGTCACCTTTTCCTTCGTTTTGTTTTGTTTGGTTTTTTGTTTTTTTTTTAGAGCTCTCCCTCGCCTACTATTGCGTTTTTTTTTAATCCCCATAATCCTCTGCTCAGGAATCTCTCCATTGCACATTCTCTACTGTTAATAATAAAAGTTTTTTTACCGTCGTCGAACAGTGTAATGGTGAGAATTGCGTCCACTACCTTTACGTAATTCGCCAGCAGGTGATTTCAGGTGTGATGAAAGTGCCTTAAATCGCCGAAGGTTTGGGTGGCGCAAGTCGAATGTCTCATGCGATCAATCACACTCCTTGATTCTGTTCTTCATAAAGTGTCCAGTCCCACCCATATAAAACTTTGTCGTATCCACAAAAAATCCCGTAAACCACATCATCTTAATTAGAAGTGTCAACCTGGCTAATTCTCTTTCAAAAGAACTGACCATAGCGTGTGGCAATTTTTAAACCAACTGCCAAAAAGCTAAGTACCCAGAAAGGACGACAATCATATATTTGAACTCCATTTCCTAGTTCAAATTTATTTCTAGGAAAAAAAAAAAAAGTAAAGCAAGATGATTTGTATTATTCATTTGATAACTCGATCTTGAAGAATGTCCGTAGACGCACAAATGACCAGGATATTGAAATGAATTGGAATTAAAATTTAAATTCCTAAGTCTCACTTCGACTGATTTACTATAAGTCGTCTTAAAGCATTGGAGACACATTTTAAAACATGAGCAGCGTTAACGACCAAATGACCCGTAAATGGAGGTTCGAAGGAAAAAAAAAATGGTAGTAGTCTGTACTCAACAGATGATCCAGCTTCAACAAGCCGTCGCCATTTTGCTGAGTCTATCTATTGACCCAGCTCTTCCTTTGCCTCTATAGTCCAGGATCGACGCCGGGGCAGAGATTTTATTTCACCAGTCAGGGACGTAGCTTTAACGGATGATGGATACCGAAAAGAACGAACAAAAGAGAAAAAAATATTCTTACCTCATTTATGAGTAATTTAGCCATGACTGCAGTTATTCGTGCTTTTTAGATTTAAGCAATTTCAACTTTTATCCACGAGCGACTGAAATATCTAAGGGTGAGTACCAATATCTCTTTTATTTCTTTTATCGTAATTCATAAAGTTTTACCTTTCCACATCCAGATATTCGACGTCTTATTTTTGAAAAATAATGATTTAGAAGTTCATCAACTACAAATGCTGCGGAAAATACTCCTAGATTATCTAACTTAAGTAAAGACAAATTTGTCTTCCCTTTCTGCGACAACGTTAAAGCTATAGTTACATATTAATTATCAGTCAGTTAGTCGATTGTAAATACAAAAAAAAAAAAAACGCTGAGATCATTACCTGTTCGGGTTTCGAGAATGAAAAAAGAAATGAATACAGTTCGAGGGAAACGGCAACAAACTACTAATAAATATATCATATCATTTCTTCTTGAAACAGCCCAGCAAAATGCTTCACAACTTGGATGTAAATGTTTACCTGTGCTTTAAATATCAAAGTGCTTTAACCCATGAAACTCGAAGAGTGACTAGATCTTAATTTCCTCACAGTATCACCACTGGATCAAAAATTATCATTCTGAGGATAAAGGAAATGATTGCTTCCTAAAGAAGTTCTTATTTTTCAAACAAACTCTTCTCTAAACACCATAAGTACCGTAGAGAGGTTAGGTTTAGGTTATAAAATGGTTTATAAGGTTATTCATGATAATTCTTCGGTTTTTTGTTTTGTTTTGTTTTGTCTTATTGCTTGGCTTTGTTTTTTTTCTTTTTTATCCCTAATCCCTAGAAAGGATTCAATACCTTTAGTCTTCCAATGGCTGTGACTCCAGTAATTTTCCTAATCACACTATTGACAAGCGCTATGGCTGCTGAATATGAACTGAGTACTGACGGTAAGAAAAATTGCAGTTTACCAACCACTTTCCTTGTAAAAATCTGAATACAAATTTCTTTTCGACAATGGAAACAAATTTTATTTGCGAGAAAACACAAAAAATAATTTAAATAATAAAGGTTACACGTTCACTCGCGCTTCTGAAAAGCGGCATTTCGAAATTTCTTTACACATTACAAGTATAACCTGCTTGTAAAATGATAACAGCTTTGTTGTTCCTGTCGATGTGGAGTTGTCGCCACTCAAAATTGAAGCGTCCATTAACAGACACAGACATCTTTATTTAAACAGGATAGCCCCTTCAGTGTAGTAAACACTGGTATCAATGGGGGTCCTGTTACCCACCCATCCCACCCCAGGGGAGGACACCCATCACACAGTAATCTCGTGCGTGGGAAATTAACGTCTCCTGCCCCTAACCCTGCAGGAGACGGGACCTCCATGTATTCGTCCCTATCGAGAAGACTAGAAGATCTAACCATTTCTTGATGTTATAGGAAGGTAGCATATTCTTCTCAATTATTTTAAGACCCTGATTGTTAGTCCGGCCGGGGCTTAAACCCTCGACCTCCAGCAAAACAGTCCAGCGCTCTATCCATTGAGCTAACCGGGAGGCGGTTTTACGAATGTTTAGTAAATTTGAAGACATATTTTAGATCTGAAAAAGCTTTTGAAAGCGCATCTTTATGAACACAGTTCAGTGGCGGAAATAAAAGTTGTCTGACATTTGGGACTCACTTCAACCTTTAAATGTTTGAAGAATCAGTAGCAATACATACAATTATCACGCAAATTTGTTCACGAAGTGTCCCTTTTTCGATTCTCTCCGTCTTAGAGAAGCAGCATACAGCAAATGCCTACGCAAATGCAAGCAGCTTGGAGGTACGCTCTTCTTCTCGCCGCATTGATTGCAGACAAGCATCATTCAGGAGACACACCCTGTATGACTATCTCTATACGTATAACTGTGTTCCAAGTGGATGGAGTCAATTTTTCGGTAGTCGCACTGTTAGAGGACAAATACAAAGAATTTCAGAATCTCTTGAAAGTGAAAGAGCCATAGAGCCCTCACTGGCCAGTGTATTTAACGCCTTCAGTGTTAGCGCTCAAAACGTAAAAGTTGTCATTTTAGGTCAGGATCCAACACCTCAGGCAAACCGAGCAACAGGCTTTGCATTTAGCCTACGACCAGGGGAGGAACCCTCTGGGGTTCCTGCTGTCTTCAACGTGCTAGTGGAGTTGGGGTGGGAGGGATACCGAGTTGACCTGTCAAACGGGGACTTAACACCCTGGGTTCGCCAAGGAGTCTTCCTTCTTAATGCAGCACTAACTGTCCGACAAGGATCAGCAGGGTCTCATCAACGAATTTGGAGGACATTTATGGAACATGTACTGCAGGAAATAAGCTCAAACGCCAGACCAACGGCATGGATTCTTTGGGGAAGAGAAGCCCAGGGTGCACGTCGCTTGATTGCCAGAAATCATTACGTCAAGACTGGAGGACACCCAGCTCAGCGGACGCCGGGATCGGATCCATTCTTTGGAAGAAATTACTTCCGCTGTGCAAATCAGTTCTTGCGTTCGAATGGACGTGGTGAGGTTGATTGGCGGCTAGGTGAGAATAGGCACTCGCAGGCGTCGACAAGGGCGAGCTGTTGAGAAACTGCTGTCATTTTTCACTTTTCTGAAATTATTATAATCTGTTGTCATTTTTCACTTTTCTGAAATTATTATAATCTGCTGTCATTTTTCACTTTTCTGAAATTATTATAATCTGCTGTCATTTTTCACTTTTCTGAAATTACTATAATCTGCTGTCATTCTTCACTTTTCTGAAATTATTATAATCTGCTGTCATTTTTCGCTTTTCTGAAATTATTATAATCTGCTGTCATTTTTCACTTTTCTGAAATTATTATAATCTGCTGTCATTTTTCACTTTTCTGAAATTATTATAATCTGCTGTCATTTTTCACTTTTCTGAAATTATTATAATCTGCTGTCATTTTTCACTTTTCTGAAATTATTATAATCTGCTGTCATTTTTCACTTTTCTGAAATTATTATAATCTCATATATACCATGTTAATTATGATAAGGATATAATAATCGTTCAATAAATGTATGACATATCGAGTAGTTAATGAAACACTTTTTAGTATTCTTCTTTGGTTCGATATCCTTTGCAAATCAAGTATGTTTCCATTTCGTCGTGTCATTTGTTTAAAGTTAAAGTAATCAATGACGGATCAAAGGGCAACCCAGAATGCACACTATACCCCACTTATTTTGGAAAAATTAAGGCGCAGAAGGAAGAAAAGCTGGCAGGTGTACACCCACACAAAAAATCGCTGCCCTCCCCCGCCCTATTCTTCTTTGGTTCGATATCTTTTGCAAATCAAGTATGATTCCATTTCGTCGTGTCATTTGTTTAAAGTTAAAGTAATCAATGACGGATCAAAGGGCAACCCGGAGTGCACTCTATCCCCCCCTTATTTTGGAAAAAGTAAGGCGCAGAAGGAAGAAAAGCTAGCAGGTGTACACCCACACAAAAAATCGCTGCCCCCCCCATCCCTTGGCTCAAGGTCTGGATCCACCACTGGTAATTGCAATTAAAATAAATTTACAGACATCCCGTTTCGTTTGTTTAACTTTACATAACGTTAAATTGGGGGTGGGGTGGAGGGGGTGGAGGGGGACGAATGTTGCCCTGAAATCTTTTGAGTCTTGAAAACTCTTAATCCGACCTCGAAATCGCGTTAGCTTTCTAGACGAGTCGTGAGGTTGTGGCACAGTTCTCAAATTACCGCTTTTTATTTCCTTTTTCCTTTAACCTTGGTGTCGATGAAAAGGTTCCAAGAGTAGTTTGGCCTTATATTTTGTGATCGACTGAGGTCTATGTATGAATGATCGCTTTAGTTTGAAAATGTTACAAAGTAGAAGCTGATATCTTGTGGAAGTTCTAACGCACCATTTGGTGGTCGTAACCAGTACCTTGCAAATAACCACTCAGAGTAAAATCCTGTAGTTTTAACATACCGGCAAGAATCTTAGCGTCTCTGGAGTCTCGTTTTGTGGAATTCGCGAGCCATTTTTGTACAATTTAAGATAAACTGCATACTTACAAACAATGTAAAAGGTTGTCATTCCAAATGCAATTTTTGGGCCAATTCCATTCTCAGCTCCTAAACAAATCGACTGCGGTTAAACGCGGTCTGTACCCTTATTGACAACGATATTCATCATTACGGTGGTAAAAATGTTGCGGACTCACGATCCGCAGCCAATGATGTCAAATATCGTTGTCGATAAGAGTACAGACAAGGCAAGATGAGTGATTGATAGATATTTAAAAGGCTTGTACGTGGGACAAAGTGTCTAAGACGGGCAACAACACCAACAGTTCTGCTTATTTTTAACGCAACATTATTAATTTGAAATTTCCAACTTAAATTGCTGTTAAATAGGACGCCAAGATATTTAACATGGTGTTCGCACTGAAGCGTGGTAGGAATTTGAGGACAGTAATCGATCATTTTAATGTTAACCAAGTAGTTCAACTTATGTTGATATGGACGAAAGATAGCATAGTTTGACTTTTTAGCATTGAGCGTTAACTTATTTACATTGAGCCAGTCAGAGACTCTGAGCAGTTCGCTATTGACGGTTTTTTCAAGAGATTTCAAATTAGAGTCAGCATACAACAAGCTCGTGTCCTCAGCACTGAAAGAGATAGAATGACAATTTCGCCGAAGAGTTATGAATATCGTTAATATAGATTAAGAATAACAGAGGACCAAGTACAGACCCCTGTGGGACACCACATGAGATCAAACATTCGGTAGATGAGTTAAAACTCATTTCAGTTACTTGTGAACGACCGAGAAGGTACGAGGCAAACCAAGCATTGATAATTCGTCTGATGCCATAATGATTAAGTTTTTGGAGCAAGATTAAATGGTCGACGGTATCAAAGGCCTTTTTTAAGTCTAAAAAGACCCCGCAAGTTAAAAGTTTTTGGTCCATATTGTTTTGTATGACATTAACAATATCAATAATGGCATGTTGCGTGGAATGGTTTTCGCGGAAGCCATACTGCGACTTAAATAGAATATCGTTTTCACCAAGATAGGATTTGAGGCGGTGGTTCATTAATTTTTCAAATATCCGATTGAAAATAGATAGTAACGATATCGATGATAATTACAAGGGTCAGTCTCATCGTGATTTTTGTACACAGGAACAACTTTCGCTTTTTTTCAGTTTGGATGGAAAGATGCCCTTTTGCACAGATATGTTTATGATGATGGAGAGAGGATCCGAGATAACGCGTCTTGCGTCAGTTAAAATTCGAATCGGACAAGAGTAGAGACCGTAAGTTTTATTTTTAGGGATCAGAAGTATTTCACGCTCAATTTCCTGTAGCGCAACTGGATCAAAGAAGAAAGAGCTTGGATTATAATTGGGAGACAAGTATTCGGTAAAATAACGAGATAAACGAGGTACACGTGAAGCTAGGTTTTTACCGACCGAAGAAAAGTAGTTATTGAAGATGTTAGAACTTGTTTTGTTAGAGTTACAATGTCGAATCCAGGTATCCAAAAAAGAAAAAAAAAAACCCTTTTTCAACCTTTCAGTTTCAAACACCGAACAGAATTTTACATGAAGCCTAAGAAATTTGACAAGCTTTGCAACTTCAAAGGAATTGGGTTTAAGGAGAAAAGTCGTAATTAATGTTTGTAGTACTATACTTCAAAGGTTTAAAACGTCATTAAAAAAATGCAATTAGTTATAGGACTCGGAAGACTCGTAAGCAACCTGGAAACCGAAAATTCTCATCATCATGAATAAAATATTCGTAGTCTTGTTTCTATACCCCAAGTAAGACTTTGTTTCACTTGTTTTTTATCTTTATCCAAATCACATCATCCCAACGAGTGAGTACAAATCTCTGATTTAGAAATTTATCTAAACATTTTTTGTTTCCATTCAAAAATGTTTATTGTATCAAAGGTGGCCGTTCACAGAGGTAGAAGTGTGTCGGACAACTGTTGGCTTCTCCGTTCGATTCGTTCACTTACGCTCACCGGATTTCATAATGGCAGAAGTTCTTCGCCCTAATATCTACGTAAGTAACACTGCTCTCCAACTGACAAGAGTTCAAGTTAACTTCACTCAGTACCGGTACCGAAGATTTGTGCTGTAATCGAAGAAGAACTTGCGTTAGCGAGACGAAATTTTTGATTACTAGTAGTTTCTTTGGGTTATAAAAACTCAAGAACGAACCTGCGGTGAAATGAAAATATAACTTAGGGCTTTTGGGCCACAGTTTACTTTGAACCTGAGTTACATCAGTTAGTCCTCCAAACTAACGATAATTTCATTAGCGTGTGGTTTGCTTCGAGACCAAACCAAACCATTCTTTTGTACAAAAACCTTAGGAAACGATCAGCTCGCTACCAACACGTCTAAAATCTGGTGATATGATGCATATGGTACTGTGCATAGCGATTTGATTGAAAAATTTAAACTTGAGCTTGGTTTCCGCAGATTGGGTGGTTGAGAATTTTCGATCTTTTTTAAAGCCGAGTCAACCTTGGTCTGAACAAAGGTTATCCAGCTATAGAGGTTGACCGAGCTATTATCTGCAAAAAAGCAAGAGAGCTACACCACAACAATTTCATGGGTCAGAGCGAAAGTGTCCTTTGCAATTTTGCGGAGCGCACTCCTTTGTGTAAGGGGATCTAGAACCTCGAGGAGGAACTTCGACATTAAAGACTGGGATCTGGAAGCTAAGTAGAGAAGGGTCGAGCAAGACTTCCTTAAACTCATCAGTTATAGATTATCTTTATTATTCTATGGTAAATTTTTCTTATTATTCTTTTGCGTTTAACTTTTGAAGACTTTGCATTCCCTTTGTCAAGTGACTTAAAGTAAGACATGGACTATCTAAACAACACATTATAATTTTATTATTCATAGCCATTTAATTATGTAGTTTAGGTTAGTGACATTTTTTCTTAAAAAGAGAATTGTTACTTGCAAGATTTTCTTTTTTTTCTTTTTTTTTTTTACTTTTTATATACTTTCATGTTAGATTCCGGGTTGTATGAAGTTACTCAATAAAGGTTATTTTAATTATAACTTTTTTCAGCAGTTTCATTCCTCTTAGAAATATTTACTCATTTACGAATCAAAGAAAATTTATATTGAAATAGATGTTACCTGAAAGAGAAAAGAAATAAATACGGTACCTTCATTTAATTTTAGTATAAACCATTTATTACTTTTTTGACCTTGGTTGTTTTGAAAAAATCAGAACCGATACTCGAGTCAGCTGATATTTAGCTCACCGCTTTGAGGCTCAGCAAATAACCACCAAAAACCACCGACACCGACGTGAATAGTTGTTAATTACTTCATGTTATAATTAATAGCCAACAAAAAGCTATTTAATTTCCAAGCGCTACTGTTCACGGGAGACGAATTTCATTCCAACAATGATAAGTCTCTAACAATAGAAATTCTAAGGAAATGATAAGTTTTTAGACACGATTTAGCGCGTTTATGAAAAATCACGATGGCCAGAGACCGGACTTCACGTCGAGTCCAGCGTTTGTTCAGCTTTCTAGAGCCTGGATTAAAATTCGTGAACCAATTGCACCTGTATTTAAATCTGACGTAAAAAGATCACATATTTTGTTTCAATTGTAATTGTTCAGCTGTTAGCATTTGTTTATTCTACGCTTTATTACAGGCGACATTAACCAATAATGCACTCGCTCCACAGCTTCTTCGCTCAGCTGAATGATCACACCGATTCAAAATTCAGCAACGAACTCGTCACTGGCAACTTTGAATGAAAATTATGAAAGGATATCTTGAAATTTTCGCCGTGTTCAGCTATCTGACCGTTGTATATGCAGGTAAGTTTGTAGTGGTTTAACTCGTAGGAACTAAAAAAGACTGATGAGATCTTTTCACGTGATGAGCAACTTATACTAACTTAGATTCGAACGCAACAAAATTTAATCAAGAACGTTCGAAAAAATTTTAACACGCACAGTTACAAAGAGTGATATGATCAAAAGGTCTTTAGCGATCTACTATTCAAAAATATAATGTAATAACCTCTTATTAATTAACAGCTTTCTTTAGAGAAAATGAAATTGAAACAGGAAGCTGAAAGTTTGTATAAAAAAAATTTGATAAAAAATATGCATGCTTCAAAGTGTTAAACCTATTTTCTTTTTATTTTCCCCCAACATCCGTAAAACTGAAATCGATTGGTTATTGACAAACTGTAACGTTCACCTCAGTGCGAATCGGATTTATATGCATGATACCGAGCGTTTTCGGGAGCTTGCACAATTTTGGCTCCGTTTTGTGTCCGAAACGATTATCCAGGAATAATTTCTCGTCCAACTACGATTTCGCTGCATTCTTGTTTGTTTCCAGTCTTAGAAATTACAGTTAATTAGCCTAAGAACGCATCAATGGTCAAGAAAGTCTGAGTGATCTAATGCGATTCCTCATAATTCTTGGCAGCGAGCTGTCACTATGTACGTGATCTACGTTTTGTTGTTGTTTAGACACAAAATGACCTATATGGCCTTGGGCTGAACAACCGGTATTTCGAGTTATTTCAGAATTCAATTTAGCCAAACATCTCAATAAGACAATGATTTTTGAGAACAGAGCCGAGAATGCATACAATGAAAAAGTGGAAATCCGGCATTTATTGACGCGCGCTTTAGATAGTAACTTTCCATCGACACCTCGACCTCAAATGATCTCCTTATCTTCGCCTCGAGGAACATATAGCCTCAGAGGGAAAGAAAACCCACTAATTCTTTTAGGGTCAGTGAATGAATAGCTTGTTATGCAAATTGCAACTTGATTCATTCTGAAAGTAATTTGCTCTCATTTTAAAACAGGTGGTGATATTGGTAATGATCACGTTACCCCCCCACCAAAGCCAGCTCATGGTAAACTGAGGTGCTTGCATTTCGCAGGCACTGATTACGTCTGTATGGTGAAATGCGATCCACCTTACGTCCCAGAAAGACCCATTCCAGCCTCATACGACTACCGTGACGGCAAATGGACGACAGTCCCTCTTGTAGACTCCAATGGAAAGCCATTTGTGTTTCCTTGGCCAAACTGTATTCAAGGTTAGTGCGGTTCACGGTTCGTGCAAATAGTTCATCTCATTTTCATAAATTAGCAGAAATATTTCGAATGCCGTGATTTGACAAAATATATTTCATATCATTTCATCCACGAAATGCTGGAATTCATGTTTGAAATTATTCTGGTACAATTAACATCCTCTCTTTCTTCGTTTTTACAGAATCCAAGTAAACCTTGGGCGGATATAGTTCTCAGCTGATCATGTCATGTGAAAAATCAATATGTAGTTAGGAACGGAAGGAAAGATTTAAAAAACACACAATATGTACTCTGTAACTTGTCGATAATTTGAAAGCAATCACTGATAAAGAAAACATAAATTACTGTGAAACAGTCCTTACAATTGTGTAATTTCTTAATTCTTTGTGCGACGAATTTTCGTTCATTCTTTTGGTTGTTAGTAAAACGCTTAACGGCGTAACGAGTAACGGCGTAACGAGAAATCGCGTAACGGGATTTATTTTAATGTTACTTTTTTTTGTACGTTTTTTTTTCATTCATCATTTTTTAAAATTTTATTGTTGTTTTGTTTTGTTTTTTTTTAAATGTGAAAATTATTATTCGTGATTAGCGGGGTTTTTCCCGCCCTTTGGCCAGAGTTACCGCATTTCCGGAGACACTAATAAGTGCGGGCGCACTTTCTCACGCTTCCATGAGGTCGGTCATGGAGGAGAACGATGACGGTAATTTTTGGACTTTCATTTTCAGTCAGTTAGTTTCCTTTCTTGCTTCTCGATCTTTTCAGTCACAGTTAGTTTAGTTTAGTTGCAGGTTTCAGTAATTGAGTAGTTTTTGAGTCCGGCGCGCTATGGAGTCCTAAAGCGATGACGTCACGTTACCATGACGCCGAAAAATTCTTTCAAAGAGAATTTTCATCAAGGTTCAATTTGAAGGAAGTTCTATTTCATGTTCTGGTAGACAACTCAACCTGAGGCTCCGGGGAATATGAAAACCTCCATGCAGACATTCTTATTTATCTCGTCACGCAATCGCCGCGGGTGACGAGCCTCAAAAGACCTTATGGATCATGGTGTGCGTCGGAGGCTACACTTATGTTTCTTCAGCAAACAATTTAGAACTTCGGTTACTGGAACGAAACTGACTTAAATGCATATCTACTGGTCTCCTAACCTCCTACGCGTGGCTCTTACAAGGACATTCTTACGCTCGCCATTCAATATATCATTCCTCTGCTTCACGATCCTAAGAATACCCTGTAACTACACTAAACAAATTGTGTCTGAAAAGATCGAGAAGCAAGAAAGGAAACTAACTGACTTAAAATGAAAGTCCAAAACTTACCATCCCCGTTCTCCTCCATAACCGACCTCGTGGAAGCGTGAGAGAGTACGCCCGCATTTCTACAGTCTCCGGAAATGCGGTAACTTTGGCCAAAGGGCGGGAAAAACCCCGCCAAACAGGGAATGATGATATTCACATTTAAAGAAAAGAATAAAATTAAAAAAAATATAATAAAAAAATTACAAAAGGAAAAGTAATATCAAAAAAAAAATCCCGTTACTCGGTTTCTCGTTACGCCGTTACCCGTTACACCTTTTGCTAACAACCCATTCTTTTTGCCACCTGTGTGACACGTACGTCACACAGTTACGTCAGAGATTAATAAATTCTTCATTTTCTAGCAGGTGGTTTTTCAATTCTATCTGCTTTTCGTCACACCAACACTTTTATTTTCATCAAGCGAACAAAATCTTTGAACAACGAACGAACTTCGTAAGGAGTCGTAACTCGACACCCCGAAAATAGTTAATGCAGTTCCATTCCTCTATCGGAAACCTGATCTATGATTTATCACTCGTTCTGCAAAGCAAACATGATTATTTCAGCAAAAGTGGTCGACCAGCAGGAAAAAAAAAATCATAAATCGTGTTAAAAATAGACATTTTCTGAATCAGAACCATAGCTGAGTTCCTAATCTAATTAAGTGTTTGCGCGAAAAATCGGCGGCATCCTATATTCTTTGCGCTTTGTTTGTATTTAACCATACAAGGGTTAGAACCGTAGACAGCTCAATTTGAATTAATAAACAAAAATAAACAAGTCTTAAAAATGCAGGTGTAGCGAAGCCGACAAGAGATTCAATGGAGGAAAAATACAAATGAATTTATCGAGTAAAAAGTAAAGTTAATAATGTTTCAAAGTTTCATTTAATTTTTTTGTGAGGTTTATAAGTTTCTTTGAAATAGCGGACCGTTGTTTTTTCAACCCCGAAATGCAAAGACTTTAAAGAAACGTCCTTGAAAGAAATCGACCTTAATAAAGGTGTCTGTCAATCATGTGATTGAACTTAAACAATCTGCTGTGCCTGATTTAATTAAATCTTCGCCACCTTTTTTGAAGATCACCAGGAAATTCCCAGACGCTAAGTTGAATACTGAAAAGATCCAATCATTGGTTCGCTTCACCTCAATCACACAATTCAAACTGTTCTTGGCAACAAAACACACTCATGGTTAAAAAAAAAATATGACCGGCAAAACTTCCACAGCTTGTCTAGACAACATGTTCGATGTTTTGAGAAACGATAGAGTAACTATAAACGTCGGCGGGTTTCGGCATAATACTTTTCTGACGACGTTAAAAAATATTCCTGATACTCGGTTGTCGTGGATTGCGGAGAATCATCCGAACAGTCCCGATTTTGATCCCGTCCTTGGAGAGTACTTCTTCGACCGACATCCACGAATATTTACCGAAGTTTTGAATTATTACCGTATCGGCAAGCTTCACTGCCCAGCCGATGTTTGCTCGGCGTTATTTCAAGAGGAATTGTCGTATTGGGGAATTAACGAACGCGATATCGAACCATGTTGTTGGGTTTTGTACAAGCGGCAGATGAACACAGAAGAGACACTCAAAACATTTCATCTTGACAGTGCCAGGAAAGCGTCTGGAGGCTGCGCAAGCGGTGCTAGAGGGGAGACAACGCGGACCATAGCAAGCTTGTTTGGATCAGAGACTGTTTTGACGAGAAATCATCGTGAAAGATGGAAGCAATTTCGGCCAAAAGTTTGGGCTCTGTTGGACGATCCACGATCTTCTCTTGCAGCGAAGGTGAGAATGTAGAGACTAATTCTACCTTTAGTTTGTCTTATACTTGTCCCTGATATAACATTTTCCCTCCAATAATTTTACATGTTTTTCAAAAGAGGAAAAACGAATTTGTCAAGTAAATTTAAATTAGTTTATCCGCATTTTCGTGGCGATTTTGGTAAGCTTGCCACTGATCTGTCAAAGAATTTCATATTACTGAAAATGATCTCAGAAACTAAGGTTATGCCAATAAAATTTTTATTCTTTTGCTATTTATCTGTAAGGCAACAAAACAAAATGCATTAATCTAGGGCCAGGGAAAATATGTTTAATCGAATACTTCTTTTAACTATGCAAAAGATGTTTCTCTTTACATAAAATTGGCCGAGTCGTTGTTATAGTTGTTTCACAGCAGGGGTTACCATTCTACCGAAAAAGATTCAGTTTCAACACGCTACTATCCCTTGATGAGCTCTAAGTGTGCCATTTGTGAATGGAACAACCCTTTTAGAGAGAAATTAAAACCTGAGTACTTTAGCTTTTATCTTAACCATTGGTCAACTACGAGCTCGTTCAAGTCCATAACCAACCGATTAAACACAATCAAGATGGCAGATGTTTTCCGGAGAGGGTCTGTCACAATAGCATTGCATACATCTGATCGTTTTAACTTTCAGTTCAATTTCTAAACAGTGCTCGTTAATAGTTTCTCTAACACGATTGAGAAGTTGATTTAATTCTAACTAACAAACAAAATAACCTTCAAATTTTAGGCTTAGGGGAGGGTTTTGTAAAAAAACGGAGGAAAAATGAAAAAAGTTCTGAGTCTCCCACGCGAAATTGATCCCCAGAATTCGAATTTTTTTTTTCTCGTTTCCATCTGGCAATAAGATATTAAAGACTCAATTTCAATGTAAAGGTCGTTTAAAACGTTTCTGTTAGGTATCTTAGCATTTAATTGTTTCTTTTTTAAGAAATTCGGCGACAAATTGACGTGCTCTTAGTGGGAAATCAATTTTGATGGGGTCGCCGGATCAAAAAACAAATGCCCTTTAAAGGAGAAGTATATCCCAATTAAAACCATGTCAATTCCATCTCTCCTAAAAGAATTACCATTGACTCCACTTTAAGATTCCAAAGACAAACTTTACCAATCGAAAACTGCCTTCAAATGTTCAAAAGAAAGAAAAAGAAAACCATCACTGAGTAACCAGTCGGAAAAACTGTTAAGAGGTGGAAGAATGAGTGTCGAGGCTTTGTTACGTCACAGGAAAGCAGCCAGGTCGCTAAGCGTCCTCAGTCAAATTCCAACCTAATTTGAAGACAATTTTCGTAAGGTTATGTTACTCTTTGGAAATCCGCCAAAACGTAACCGCTGATATAATTCTTCTTCAGTTTGCTTTCAAATGGCGGGGATAAAGATAATTTGGTTTTAAGGGCATCCTTCTATTTTATAATATTCCTGAAGGGAGACTCGGACCTGACTACGCCAATTTTTTCCGTTCAGTGATTCTAACATTTTTTGTCTGAAGTTTCGGTTTGGTAGCAGTAAATATTTATTTCTATGAAGGCGAAACACCGAATGTAGGTCTAGTTTCCCCTTTTGCAGTTTGGAAATTTAAGTCGTGGTTTTTGAGGACGAAAAAAAATACCAAAGTTAAAAATATCTGAGAAAAAACATGCAGCAAGAACGAGAACCAATCAAGACTCGAACTTTACATGACCTCTGCAGGTCCAGAATTCACGCCATGTTAAATTTGCCCTTCCACGCTAACTGAAGAATTCTAAACTGTTTTGCAGGTCTTCATTGGTTTGACAAGTCTGTTCATCATGGTCTCTGTCACGCAATTCTGCCTTAGCACCGTGACATCCATCAGAGATAACGTAACGCTAATGAGGATCCTACGGATTCTAGATGTAGTGACATCGATTTGGTTCACGGTGGAATTTTTTCTTCGTCTCATCTTCTGTCCGAATTTTAAAAACTTTGCAAAAAATCCTATGAACTGGATCGACCTTCTTGCTGTTTTTCCATTTTATCTCTCACTGTATCACATTGGGACGAGAACATCTTGGCTTGTGGTGATGCGAACACTGAGAATTTTCCGCATCTTCAGCTTGTCCTTTTCATTCCAAATCTTATTTCACACACTAATATCAAGCAAGAATGAGCTGTTTCTGGTGTTTTTCAGCCTTATTGTACCAATCATTTTATTCTCGAGTATGATTTACTTCGCAGAGAATGAAAACAACAAAGAAATGTTTCCCAGTATCCCAGAATCCTTTTGGTGGGCAATCGTGACAGTTACAACACTCGGGTATGGTGACGTAGTTCCGGTAACCAAAGTAGGGAAAATTATTGGTGCAATGTGCGCCATCTGTGGCGTCATCATAATTGCACTTCCGGTATCAGTGATTGGCAGCAACTTCTCTTATTTTTACATGCAAGCGCGCACGCGCATACAGCAACCGCGGCGCTCCACAAGGATGCCCCCGCTTTCGCAGGTTCCCGCCAATTTAATGTATAAGCGTTTACCGCGCAGGCGCAGTGGTTCCGGATCAGAAGCTAATGGCAGTGTGTCTAGGAGGTCACACGTGAAAAAGCGGTCAAGTATCAAGAGGAGCTTACCTACGCATGCGCCATACGGGCGCAGACCGAGCAGGAAGTCAAATTCAACATATGGAACAAGGGCGAGTGCCTTGGAGATGATAGAAATTTTAAAGCGAGATCAACGAATAGAGACACTGAAAGAGGAAATGTGAAAAAGCATGTATACTTCTTTCTAAACATAACCAATTTCGTACCGTCATATAGACGTTAACAGTAAGAATTGCATAGTTTTGAAATTTTCACTTGGTGCTGGATCGAGTTTCAGTAGTGTCAATTGTTGTCCGGGATTGCATATATTCTTATACATATCTATACTTACGGATATTTACATTTAAAAGGCGCAACTTGATAATTTTCATCCACAAGCTGGTCGAGGAGGCCAAGAGCCAATCCAATGGCGCGTATCGCAAATTTTACTTGATTCTCTCTTGAATCCGTTGAAAACTAAACATTCCAAAAAGTTCTCGCGTTCATTTCGCAATATATCTTCTTGTTGTAAACTCCTTGCCTGCACCAGCAGCATGTTACGCAATGGAGAAAGAAAGAAAGAAAGAAAGAGTTGCAGCAAGATAAACTGCTAAAAACATATAGTTTAATGATATTGGCTTGATAAACGGAATGAAATACAAAATGGATAAATTAACAGTAAAACATATGGAATACATTTTTACTGGTTAAAAAAGAGAAATGGTCTGGTACCTTTGTATCGTGTATTTAAAAACACGAAATAAACTTCAAAAGGCAAATTAACTGTGAGGTAACTGTTTCAATGTCTACACAGCATTGCCGATAGAGACGTTAAGCATGAAGATAAATTTAGAAAAACCATTTCACATGGGCCAATTTGACCTGTTATTTTTAGCCAATTGTCATCTTATAGTACCAGAGGACTCTTCTGTTATTGGTGAGAGGCCATTGTCAAGCTCAGGTAAGCGGCTGTTCTCTCCAAGAACATGCGCCAGATCACTGAACCTTAAAGAGGAAAAAAGGAGGTCATATCCAAACATGCAATTATGATAGAACTTCGCTGATTCAACTACAGTCAACTCGAACTTAGAGCGATTTTCCTTAACGGAGTTCTAAGTAAATTCGACATCTAGGATTATTTTTTTCATTTTATTTCCCACAGTAGTTCGAGTTCTGGGGGCCTTCCTGTGCCCGCTCTTCGAACACAAATCTCATCACAACAAATAAACAAGGCTGATTAAAACAAGCACCTACTTGGATCCTTTTATCAGATCCAAAAAACCATGGAATTGTCTGAAAGACGCTTCGATGCTTTCCAGTACGCGGTCGTCTTCAAGAATGGTTTTCGCTCCTTCATATAGACAGGGCAGACAGACAGTCAGCCAGTAACATTGCAAAGAGGCCGTCGGCCAGCCAGATAATCAGTCAGAAAGACATAAAGGCAGGTAGAGAAACATGCACACAGACAGACAGTTTAACAGAGGGGGACAAAGCTGTAAAATATTCTTACACATGTCACGAGTTCACGCGGGCTAACGAATGTAATAGGGCAATGGCGGAATTTCAGAAAAATTGACGACCGGACGGTTTTTTTTTTTTTTTGCCCTGGCTATGATATACGTAAAGAGTTAAGCTAAAGATTTAGCAACAGACCGTCCTTCAACGGGGGCATAAAATAACCAGTGAATACCACAGTTTTAAACCTTGAACTCTTGCCGAAATTTTGCCGTATACTGTTCCAGTTCGATCGCAACAACACATTTTGTGCAGGTTTTGCAATGAGCATGGCGACCTTTGGAGAAAATTATTGACTTAGCGTACTGAATAACATTTCAGAGGATATATACGGTAAAGGACAATTTTCGTTTTCTTTTTTTTTCGACGATCGCCACCACTTTAAATTCACTCCCAACATCGCTTTGGATACAAATGCAACGTCATGAGATGCGCAGATGTTATATAGCTCTGTTACAGAACAATAAAGGTAACACATGCACTTACCTCTGAGCTTTTGTTTCTCGGGGACTGTGTTCAAGAACATGCCATTCACAGATACTGGACGCGCTGGTGGTAACTGCATACAAACGACAAACAACAACAACAATAACAACAACTAAGTTAAAGCTGGGTTTACTTGCAACGAACCTGATTAGGGTATTAAATCGAGTTAGATGAAATTTCTAAAAGGACAAAGTGTTACTTACTGTTTGCTGTGTCTTCAACAGTCGTATTTCTTGCTGTAGTCTTCTGTTCTCGACTTGCAACTAAAACGAGACCGAAAACGTGCAGGACGGAAAAATGCGTCAACATGCCCAATAGATATATCCGCAATGAAGTGGGTACGTTTCTTAAGAAACTGTGGTGCTGTGTCGGTGAGGGAACGTCAGAGTCAATCGAAGGGCTAATGCTCGAAACATCAGCTTTCTACAGTGGCCAATGTACATTATCGACTCAATTGATAAAACCAGATATATCAAGACAAGTAATGCGATCGCACGTCTTCACTTTTAATCAGAACGATCGAATGCACCTTAGTTGAATGGTCAGCACATAAGGAAATATAGTCAAAGCTTATAGTCCTTTACACCTAAATATTAGTATGCATATTCTCCATACTGTTCTCTATACAAATCCTACGGTGCTGACAATTCGATTAACAATCCAGAGCTTTTAAAGTCAGTGATCATTTCCTTTATTCTCGTGGCTCAAATGTTTGATTCAGGGGTGATATCGTAAGGAGAAATTAGATGTTAGTCGCTCTAAGGAGTCAATGGGTAAAGGCCCTAAACTTAAGATTTATATTAACGTTGCCTGAATAACTTACTTCGAGTATTCTTGAGTCGGCTGTCGCACGTGCTCGACTTTCGTCTTCAAGTCGGCGTTTGAGAAGTTCCATCTCTAGCTGATGGGTGGCCATGTTTGAGAGAAAGTAAAGTTACATTTGATGTGAATAGACTGGTCACCATAAATAGAATGATGTTTGAAAGGAAAGGGAGAAAAAACAAGACTCGATAGAAAGAGGAAACGAAGGAGCTTTGAAAAATTATCGAACGACCAAGCCGAAGGATGGATTATGACAAACGACCAACTAACGGATTGAACGGATTGAATGAACAAAGAACGAACGTCAACGAACAAACCCAACAACCGAAGAACGGATCGACCGACGACGGAACGAACGAACAAAGAACGAAAGGCAACGAACAATCGACCGACCAACTGAAGAACGAGTCAACCGACAAGGAACCGAACGAAGCAAAATTGAATGAAAGAGCCAACAAAAAAGGGGGAAAAAAGGAAAATACAAAAAGAGGCCACTATACTAATTGTTCTAGAGAAAAATTTCAATAGCGGTAAGTATCCACTATTTAAATACGCCAAATATCTATAACCTACTGGTAATCGAGAACGAACCATGGAAATCACAGAGTACCAAATTGTGACATAAGAAAACTGTACCTGCATGTCCTTTAATTTTTCTCGATTATCAACAGAGGAATCTGAAAATGCAGAAACATAAGCAGCATTTTTAAAATATATATATAAAACATAATTATACGAAAAAAGAAATGGGCGAAGGGTGGCTCTCATGGTTCTCTGGACACGCAATTTGCGCTACAAATTTCTCTAAATGTTTAGATTACTTGCATTTCCCCCATCCCCATCCACATCAGATTCCAAGAAAAGATGGTTCTAGTGGTTACACGAGATGAATAAGAGTGGAAAACGGAGAAGACTGGGCACCACCAGTAGCCTTGTTTGAAATAATTTCGTTCCAGACTCCTCTCACAACACAACTGAAACTTTTTACGTAAACAAAGACACAAAACAAAACAAGACAAAACTGAACAAAAGACAGAGGCCGGTAAATATCAATTGACGATGTCAGTCCAGTCTCACCAATGGTACTCGTTCGGCGCGATGGAAGGTCATCTCCTTCACACGCTGGTAATGGTGAACTTGTGGCCCGAGGTCTGTTTACAGAAGACTTCACCTGATGAAAAACAGAAGAAAAATATAAGCAGCCTGTGTTACAAACAAGCGTGGACAAACAAGCGAGAAGTCACGCGCGTCTTCTCCTTGGCGCTCGTCTCCTGTGTTATTAGCGCGGGCCTACTATGCAGACAGAGAACACTAAGGAAAAAAAGTCAAGGAAAGAGAACTAAGGTGCTTTTCCTTATATTTTTGTGTTGATATAAGGTCAGAGTGTTTATGCTTCTTCTTTCATTGTCTTTTCAAGCTACATTTTATTATTGAAGTTAAGTAAGTCAGCTTTCATCGCAAGCGCGCCAAAAAGAAGTATTGGTTTCCTACGATTAGGTCAGTGATTTTTCTTTTGTTTCCGAGACGTTCCTACAGTGAAAATTAAGATAATAGAAAGGGAAGGAAAACTAACAAACTAAGAGCACTAACAACCAAAGGAGACGCAAATCTTGAAACAATCAATGAACGATGTCGAATTTTACCAATTTTACATGTACTCAGTATTTGCAGTGCATACCGCAAGACGCACTGCGCGGATCGAAATAGGTAATTTGAACAGTTGCAAAGATTCATTCGACATTGAACTGACCTTCTTTTTCTTAACTGACGAACCGTCTTGTGTATTTTGTCGTCCAAGTTTATGCCTGTCAGAAGGAAAGGGAACGAAAACATTCGGGTTTAAGAATTTTGCAAAACTTCGCGAGCGCTATTTTTCCGTCATGGCAAATCCAGACAATCCAAGATCCCAAAAGGCAAGCTGATAACCGAACTCGTTCGCGGCCCTCGTATCGCATAAGAATTCGCCTCACAAACGTCAAAAGAGACGGTGGACTAGAACTCCCAGAGGTATGGCAGCCCCCGATCAAGACATGACCAGACTGCACAACAGAGAAATTATGTGAAAGCAGACTGACGGGGAAAAAAACGCTACAAAAAAAAAAAAAAAAAAATGCCAAAGATCGGAATGCGCCAATCATAGCGATCCAAAACCAACCTATCGCAGCAAAGCACCATGCTTCATAGAGTCTCAAGTGATCAGCTGACCTTTTCGCCCGAAGAAGTCTTAGAAGTATGCAGTCGAAATGGCGCGAACCGCATCGGAAGTGACTAAATGGTGAGACACACGACAATACTCTTTACCTGTTCTTTCCAACTCTAGCCGCTGTTCTCCAAGGAATGAAACCAGAAGACTTCTTTGATACGACAACAGCACTCCTCCAAACACCATTCCTATTTAACAGCAAAGGAGTGAGAAGCCACAGAGATGAATCAAACTCTCTCCCTCGTGAAACAAGTTGAGCCATCTTTCGACCTGAACTGAGCTGCGCCCTGTGCATACCTAGTGATCTGACCGGCCCGAACAAACTCGGTCAATATATATTTGATCACATGACCGTCGCCCTTACTTGCTTTCTTCCTTCAGCTCGCCACTCGCGAGGCAATACGGTTTTTTCGGCCCCGCTCACTCCATTCCGCTCGGCCCTCATACGTAGATAACAAGGAGAATTTCAGAGGAGTTCAATTCCAGCAAAGTCCAGATAACAATAACGATAACAGTAACGATAACAATAACGATAACAATAACGATAACAAACCACTTTCGACACTTACCTTCCTCCGCGCATCCCTTGCTGTGTAGCCGTGCTCTTTCGTTTCTGCGGACGTATTCTTCCTGGTTTTGGCTCTCTTATCACTAACCAAGGATACTTTAAAGAAACAACATAACAGTTAGCGAAATGATGGTGATGGCCGCTGAACAAATCAAACTCCTCGCAGTTTCAGTATTTTTTTCCCTCCACGGACGACGAATATAATCACGGCTCGCTGAACAGTGGGAGATACCAAACCCCCCTACCCCTTCTTCCCTGGTAACATACCTTACGCCCCTATACAGACTTCCTCCCGAGGGAACTGCTTCGTCTAAAACCCACTCCCGGCCAAGTCTTAAATAAGGCCAAACGGATGTTCATAACTGCTACATTAACCAGACTTACTTCCAATTGGCTTTCTCCAGAATTGATCATCAGTTGCTCCATCAACGATCCAAAAACTTCGCGTTCTATAGAATAAGTAAGTAGAATGAGCAAAAGAGGTGCGGGCAATGAATGGGGGGGAGGAGACGGGGACGGCCGGGGGGGGGGCGGTTTATTGACGGAAGGTGGCTCCCGTTTGTGGAGAAGGGAACTAATTTGAGATTTTACACTGTCTTGTAAATTGCACTTACCGATCAATGGGTTTAGTCTGAGATCCAACACGCAAATGGTGGAGTTAAACTTCAAGACCGGCTGGAAGGACATTGCGCCCTCTGTTGAAATGCCACACTGCTGCATATCCAGCGCTTTGGAGGAAAATTTACGGCGATGAAAACTTATAATCATGATAATAAAAATCAGTAACTCAAAACCTTATGAAGGATGGAATCGAACAAAACAACCTCACAGACTGTACATTCTATAAATATACACATATATTTGTCGTATTCTACGAATCTCCCTTTGCTCTCTTCTCCGAGCTGATTATAACTCCCAGGACAAAAAAACGCTTTATGAAAGTTTCGTACCAAACGAACGGGACTGTTCACACAATGTATTGCAATCAGAGAGCAATTTTTCAGAACTAACCTTTAACCCAGAGGTCATCTTTGAGTGCCTCAGCAATCAACTCAGCTCCTCGATCGTTAATCAATGGATTTTTACAAATTGTTATTCGCCGAAGTCCTGGCATTCTGTCGAGATCTGGACGGCGATACCGCAGGCTGTCTTGCCATGCTACACTGTGGCGTCTAGTGGCTTGGTGCTGTGTATTAATAAAGTAACGCAAAATAGCAAGTTCACAGTCCTTCAAAACTCGATCCTCGATTCTTGATAACCTCGAGATTCGAGTCGAGTGTCGAGACGTGCGAGTCGAGTTTCGAGTCGAGTATCGAGTCGTGCGAGTCAAGTTTTGAGCGTTCGAGACAAGTATCGCGTCATACGAGGCAAGTTTTGAGATGTTTGAGGAAAGCATCGAGTCGTAGGAGGCAAGTTTCGAGACGTCCAGGTCGAGTATCGAGTCGTGCGAGTCGAGTTTCGAGATAAGTGACGAGTCGTAAGAGGCGAGTTTCGAGTCGTGGATCAAGACGTTCGAATCGAAATTTGAGCCCTGACTTACTAAATAAAAGAAAAATAATTTGCCACACCTTTATCACTTTAGCCAAAGTGTCTGCTCCTTTCCAAGTGAGACTGCAGCCAGAGAAGTTCACAGTTATTACGGACGTGTTGTTTTTTATTGCATTGCAAAGGACTGCAAAGGAAAAAGTCGAGATTCAATTTGATACAGTTTTTGTATTTTAGTAAAACATTTTGTCATCTTATTGGACAAATAATAGACTAGTACCTGACTGGTATAAACTTCGCTATTTTTGACGATTTCTCAACAAAATTAATGTATAAGTATTAACGACTACTCACTTTCAACGCCACTGTCACCGATTTGGCAGAACTCCAAGGACATATGCTGTAGAGTTTTGTTCTTTGCAATACCCTTGGAAGAAAAAATATTTCAATTTTGGTGAAAAAAATTTGACAAAAAGAAGGAATCAAAAAGTTCTAATTAATAACGAATGAATGAATGAATTCCTTATGAATGAATTCCTTATTTATATTGCGCCCTTTCTATACAATATTCAAAGGCGCAGTACCCCCCATCAATTTGATAGACACTACACAAAGATAGACCACAACACCGGGCACTACGTGCCCTGCTCTTTTCGAACATTGTGTGGGTTCTTTAACGTCCCACAAATTTTTTTATCACATACAAGGGCTTGTGAGACGGGACCTCCATTTATCGTCCCTATCCGAGAAGACTAGAAAGTCTAACCATTTGCAGATATTATTACAAAGGCAGCACTTTCTTCTCAGTTATTTAAAGACCCTGAGTGTTGGTCCGGCCGGATTTGAACTCACGACCTCCCGCACAACAGTCCGGCGCTCTACCCATTGAGCTAACCGGGAGGCGGTTCGTATTTTCTTTTTTTTTT